ATTCGAACACAATTTTATGATTTAAAAATGAAATCAAATGCTAATAAAATGATTATTAACGTTTCACAAGTTAATGTAAAAGTATATAATAAAATGAAAATAATAGTAACAATAATAGTAATGTTATATTTATATATAACATTATTAGAGAGAGAAAGAGAGAGAGAGAGAGAGAGAGAGAGAGAGAGAGAGAGAGAGAGAATGACAGAAAGAAAAATTCATCTCTTACTTTAGTTACATATTTAAAAAGAAACAATACAAAAACTATAAGTATATTTTCAATAAATATACAAAAGAAGAATCATCGTCCATCAAACTTTCAAACATGTACAGCCGTTCAATAAATGGAATTTAATCATTGAACAAAATAATCGTCAAATTAAAATGAATTTCAAAGAAAAAAGAAAACCTTTTCCAGCTAGAAAATAGGAAAAGAGAGAGAGAGAGAGAGAGAGAGAGAGAGAGAGAGAGAGATAGAGAGATCGCATGTGGATACGTGATTTTTCAAAATTATAGCAATTTTTTTTTAAATTCTTTTATTTTATTTTATTTTTTTGTATAAAGGATCAAGAGATTCATATGAGTCCTGCCATAAAAATCAACTGATTATGTTTTGCAAGAGTGAAGGCAACATAAAAAGTGTTATAAATATATGCTCTTAAACTAAAAAATTTATAAAATGGTTATAAAACATTTTTAATCAAAAAACTCGTAACACCAAAAAAAAAAAAAATATATATATATATATCTTGATAAACAATTGAAACTTTTGCGATATTGCGAGAGAGAGAAAATTAAAGAGACCCAGAGACAGACAGATAAATGGATAGGTGTTATGCTCTATCTCTAACTAGATGGAGAGATAGATAGATAGAGAGAGAGAGAGAGTGTGTGAGAGGGAATGAGGGTGGTCGAAAATGAGAGATAGAGATAGATAGATATGGTGGGAGAGGCTGAGAGTGAAACAAAGAGGTAGAAAAAAGCTAAAGAAAGAGATAGATCAAAATTGAAAGGAAGTGAGAGTGAAATAAAGAAAGAGAGGTGTGTGGGAGAAAGAATGGGCAAGGGGTGAACGCGTGGGCGTGAATAAGACAGCGACACAGCACGTGGTCTCACATAAAATTTAAAAATATGTTTTTCCCTCAATTAAACGTAATCGCTTTACAAGAAATCCAAGCGATGTCTACAAGTCCAAATGTAATTGCAGACAGGGTTTTATTCTGATGAATGGGCCAACTCGAAACGGTTATTTTTATTTTTGTTATTTCTGCTCTCTGCCATTCAGAAGGTTTTGTTTACATTGGAAACCGGCGAATTGAAACGTCGCTTTTCGTTTTGTAATATTGCGGTTTTATAAACGTGCTCGTGGCCGTAATGATCTGCATTTTCCCCCTTTTGAAAATATCCCAGCCTACGCAAATAGTCTGTTTTGCGGTTGCTACACAATTGGCCCTCAATTGAATTTGTTGTTTATATTTTTATTATTTTTGTTGTACTTATTCATACTCAATAAAACGTTTATATATTTTTTATATTTATTTTGTAGGGTTATATAATTTCCGTTCTACTCTTTTTTCCACTTTTTTTAAATTGATTTGAACTTGTAGGATAATTTATTGTCGTCTTTATTAAGAGAACATTAATTTTTGTTTAATTCTTTAATATTTATACTGTTTATACAATTGACATAAAAAGAATAACTGATTGATTTGTTGACCCTCGGATTTAAAATTTTAGAGTTTTGACATGAAATCACCGAGATTTGACACTTCTAGGACGTTTGAAACAGAAATAATCTAAGGAATTTGATGTGTAAACGCCTTGACTCTCCCAGCTTATACCCTGACCTCACGACTTGTTTTATTTATTTATTGTTACATGAGTAAACGGCGTTATGCTGACAAACATACAGCATATTATGTAACAAACAATACAATTATAAGTGTATACAATTTACAAATAAAATATTTGAAACTAAATAAAAATGTACAATTAACATAATATTAATTACTTAGATATGGTAACGAAATTTCACAATAAAATTTAATTAAAATATACTAAATGAGAAAAAATGAGAGAATATCTGTTTGATGATGACTGTCAAGATTTGATTTGAACGATATAAGCAATACATTATATTTCTTGGTCCGATTGACCAAATAACTTCTTTCAATTAATTAGTATTTTTATGTAAGGTATTACTGGCAAGCCGAAGGTTGTGGGTTCGAATCCCGCTCGTGACACTTTTTCATTTCAACCAATACCTTACATGGAAAGATTAATTAATTGATGTAAGCAATCTTGAGTTGGTGACATTTGAAGGCAGATTATTTCAATTTTGTGCAAAGCTGTTTGAGAAGAGTGGTGATCCAACTAATTTCTGGGAGTACAAGTTTCGAAGTTTTATGCTATGTTCTTGAGTTTGTGAGTATGTATGAGAAAAGTTGTGGCGATGAAATCTTGCATTTCTCTACGATCATGAAGCGTTGGTAATTTTAGGAATTTAAGTCTGTTGACATAGCTGTACTGCTTTAATTTGTTGGATGTTTTAGTACAGTGTTTGACAAGGTAATAGATATGTGCATTTAACTTGGTATTCAAGAAACCTGCCTTTTTTGGTGATGTCTAGGACATGTTTATTCCACTTCAACATTTCTGATATTAAATTCACTAATTTCATGGTCCCGCTTGACCAATTAACATATTACAATTAATTAAGCTTTTTAGTTGAGATAAAAAAGTGAAAAAAGATTTTTTTTTTTAAATTTCGGTGTATCAAGCCGAAGATCGTGGGTTTGAATCCCGCTCATGCCATTGACTTTTTTATCACAACTAAAAACCTTAATTAATTGTAATTTCTGATATTGTTATCCTGGAGTATTTTTGTAGGTTAAACAAGGTTTTTAGTGCTCAGATGGAGAACACAGCATGTCATGATTATGATTAAGACCTCAAAGTAGTCACCAGTCAGAAATCTTATCAATGCTCATATGCAGTTCAGTATCAGCAAAACAAGCATTATCTGCAAAAATACTAATTTCACAGTGAATTTTCTCATTTATATACTGATATAAAGGATGAATAGAATTGGACCCAGCATCGATCTGTGCGGAACTCCCCTAAGCACTGAATAGCAATTAGAATATGCTTGATCAACATTGTCTTCAAAACTTACCATCTTATAAAGCCATAACCATCCCTAAGATAAAGTTACGAGTCTGTAAACATATAACCAAACTCCTTGGACAAATCTTTGATAAGATTATATCAATTGGAATGTTTGAACCCATTTTTTTTCTGTCCAGAGATTGATGTTTTGTACCATGTTTGTAAAAACAGAACGTTTCGAGACAAAGCTGTGCTGAGTGGGAGGAATAATTTTATTTAAGTTGTCACTGTTTCACTGTTTTAATTTTTGAAATGACTATTTCATAACTTACAAGGCATGTAAGACCCAAAAGTGAAATATTGCCGCCAAATTCAAATTCTGGCTGAAAAATGTTTAAAAATGACAGAAAATTAATTGTTTTATTTACACCATTAAATAAGTAAAAACCTAATGAAAGTAAATCTTGTCATATTCATTATTCAGAGATCGTGAGATGCGGTCTGATGTGACATTAGTTTTAGAAAAACATTTTCTTTATTGTGTCAACTTTTTGATATTTATTGAGATCATCTTCAGGGTCTGGGATTTACAAACATTGTTTACATTTAACAAATAAATGTAGGATGTGGAAAAAAGTGAATTTATACAATGCAAAAAAATATTTTTATATTCAATCAAAGTATTTCTACTCACACAAAGTATTTGTTTTCGGCGTAATTGTGCCATTCTTGTGTGTCGTGATGAGTATTTTTTCTCTAAAACCTACGTCACACCAGACTGCATCTCATGATCTCTGAATAATCATTGACTAACAAAAAAAAAAAAAAAAAAAATTCACATAAACCGAACGACATTAATGGGAGTAACATGTCCACATTCCAGGACATTTTCTCAGCAACTAACAAAAAATTGAAATTCAACAAAATCTATACTTTAACTTGCAATTAAAAAACGTTATATTGAGATTTTATAAATAGAAAAGTTATTGTGAAATTTCTCCATGTGGTCTGTGGGGTGATCAATGTGCAATTTGGTCGATACTGACACTTTGGTTTACCTATTTTCACTTTTTCGGAGATGGGTTTGTTTATGTTTAGTTGGGAATCTTTCAATACTTCAATATTTCAACAAATTAATGCGATTGTAAAATGGGAGTGTAATTTGTAAAATTGTATTGAATGGCTTGCAAGTTGAATATTTGTTAGAACTTAAATTCACTAATTTTGTGGTCCACTTGACCAATTAATACATTACAATTAATTAAGGTTTGTAGTTGAGATGAAAAAAAGTTAATGGCACGAGCGGGATTCGAACCCACGATCTTCGGCTTGATACGTCGCTGCTCTAACACTTGAGCTATCGTGACCTCGATCCACTTAGACATCAACTTCCCATCTCAACCCCACCTTATGAGTTTTCCCTCCTTTTTGCCATTTTTCAAGTGGTAGAGCAGCGGCGTATCTAGCCAAAGATCGTGGGTTCGAATCCCGCTGGTGCCATTAACTTTTTTTCATTTCAACTAAAAACCTTAATTAATTGTAATTTGTTAGAACTTTTATCTTCATCAATCAACCTGGCCTATTTTCTCTGATTCGTTATATTTTTTAATAGACAAATTATCTTGCAATATTATCCAGTGAAATATAATTTTATTTATATTATTGTATTCTTGCAAGATGATTTGTGATTTTTTTCATGCAAATGAAGTACGTGTTTAATATGTCTGGCTTATTGTTAATTATTTTTACAGGTTTTGCCTTAACTTCTTTCAGGCCATCAGCTCATGTAAAAAATACTTGAGTTAATTAGTTTATTCTTTATTAAGAAATTTGGATAATTTTATTCACAATCCTTCTGTTGATGTATTTTACATTTCTATAAATTCTTCTAGCCCTACAAATCATTTTGGCATTGCTGACTACTGTGTCTTCGGTGGGATGCTGCTCATAAGCACCATGATTGGACTTTACAAGAGCTCATCACAGAAAAACACAGTTGCCCAGTTCCTGACTGGGAGGGGCAAGATGTCCACTGTGCCTGTGGCTATTTCCATGCTTTCTGGGTAATACATTTTTAAATTATTTAAGCAAAAAGATTTATTTTTAAAATATCAATACAATATGTAATAACATTGAGAAGGAAGTGTAAGGGTACTCCACGCTTGGATTCTTAAAAAATGGATGTAATTTTTATAATGAAATAACTGGTTTACTTTGTAATATTTTCATGATTAAAAAATAATTAAAATCATATTTTAAACAACTGAACAAAAATAAATAAATAAATAAAAAAATAAAAATTAACCACCACAAATTAAATTTTAAATTTCTGCAGGTCAGTGTCACACCTATGCTGTGTAATCTTAATTTTTAATATGAAAATTCTTCAAGGTGGAATGATTTCATTGGTATAACTAGAAAAAAATTATGAAAATACTGAGTTTAATGGATTTTAATTAGTCACAGTAGAAGATGAAACAATATCACTATATTATTTTTATGTAAATTATTTAAGTGTTGTGATTTTTTAAAAATTTGTTCTGACATTAAACTTATTCTTTTTCTTAATTCCTTATTTATTTCAGTTTTGTTTCATCAATAACATTGATGGGCCAGCCTGCTGAGGTTTATTTGCACGGAGCGCAGCCATGGCTGTTTGGAGTTTCCTCGTTCCTTCTCATACCGATCGTCGGATGGGTGCTGATCCCGATGTTCAGAGAGAAGCAATATGTCTCTGCCTACCAAGTATGATTGACATTTATAATTTTTCAATAAAAAAATATTCTATATAATTTGTATATTTTTTTATTCAGTACTATGGTGATCGTTACAACAGGTGGCTGCAGTTGGTCGCTGCAGTTATATTCACACTACAAATGGTTAGGATAAAATATTTTATAAAAATTCTTTTTCATTTCAACTTTTTTAAATGTATTTTGTAGATCATTTACCTTGCGTTAGTCTTGTATGCCCCTGCATTGGCTATGTATCAAGGTATTTTATCTTTCCTATTGTCTGTTTTATAGAAATTAAAATTTCAATTGGTTTGCAGTGACAGGCCTTAACACGATGGTGATGGTTACAATAATGTATTTAGTCTGTATTGTTTACACAACAGTGGTAATTTTCTTGTTAACATAGGCGAAACTGTGTGCGGATAGAAAGGCAATTTATTGTTCCAGGGCGGGATAAAGGCAGTTGTCTGGACGGACTGTTTCCAGGTGTTGGTGCTTTCGCTCTCTCTTATTATAGTCCTGGCCAAAGGGACTGCAGACATTGGTGGATTCAGTGTTATCTGGGAAAGGAATAAAGCCACCGACCGAACAACATTTTTCAAGTATTTCAACTTAGTCATAAAAACCAATGCTTGTATTTACTTCTTTATATTGTTTTAGCTGGGATATTTCAATGACTGAAAGATACACATTCTGGTCATCTTTTATTGGTTCAGGATTCCTACATATGACGACTTACGGTGGAAATCAACTACAGATTCAGAGATATTTAACTGTTAAGTCAACTTCTGAAGCTAGAAAGTAATAATACAATTATTTCAATACTTCATTTTCATTTTTAATTCTGACAACCAGAATATATTATATTACATGAGATGATTTAATATGATTAATTTTAACAACTTTATGGAAATTTGATTTCAAGTAGTTATATACAATTTATATTTTTCAGAATGCTATGGATAAATAGTATTGGGTGGACAATAGTAAGTTTCATGTGTGTCTATGCAGGGATGCTAATTTTTGCAAATTTCAATGAATGCGATCCTCTAACTACACATGTATGTTTTTTTGTTCAATTTTTATTTACTTATTTTAATTTTTTTTAACACTAGATTATACAAGTAGATGTAATATCAGAGGAACATTTGACCTGAGGAACCAATAGGGTTCAAGATGCATAGATTGTGCCTTTCCTCAAGGTTTTGTAATTTTTATAGATCTCAAGCACACTTCGTTCCTCATGAAAAATTCTGTTACAAATTTCAAAGTGAAGGTATCAGCTGTAAAATTTTGAGCATAATGAAATGTTTGTACAAAGGGTCCAGGGTGAAAAATAACGAGAGTCTAATGGTTGAAAATTTACAGGAATTTTTTTTTTCAAGTTTATGGACAGTTAGCTAACAATATTAATGTCATTAATTTAATTTTCTTACATAGCATAATTTATTCTTCCTATTTGATGTAGTATCTTAAAACTCGAGCTATTAGATGGCATATAAATTTCAGAAACAAAATGAATTCTCATCAAGGGGCCTTCAGGGACAGGTCATAAGTCCACTCTTTTTTCCCTTTATATTTCTAAAACGGTGACTTTTTAATATAAAGAGTGACAGAGATTGTCATGTTGAAGTTTGCAGATGATGTGGTGATAATTACATCTTCTTGGCAGGAAATCCAAAACAGTTTAAATATGATGAAAGAATACTGTTTTTTAAACACTCGAACAATAAATATTAATAAAATGGAGGTAGTAAGATTTCAAAAATATAGAGAATTCAAGTATGATGAGAATCCTGGCATGTTTAAAGGATTTGTATATTTGTAGGTTCCTTTCTGTTCATCAAGTAAGGGTTTTGAGCCAGTAGTAGCTAATAAAAAAAATAGTTTTGGCAGACTGGCAAGATGAACCAGTATCAACAAGATGATCACCTTGTTGACCCCAGATTATTTGTTTGATTCTAATGTCAATGTTTATGAAAGAAGCTGTATTACCTTTTATTTCATCACGGAAATTGTTTTATAAGATTTTTCATATTCATATTCGACTATTTTGGTCTGGCTATCTTCGCCAGTTTGATCCATGAGACGTTTTTTCTTTCAACTCGAATTTATCATAGACTTTCCAAACTAACTTGAACCTTTCGTACTCCAGCAAATAACTGGAGTCATCACACAAGAAAAAACAAGAAACAAGGTGATACTACAAACATAGAATACAAACACAATTCTTCAGGTATTTTATTTATTTGTAAGTTGGTTATTACCAATCAATCTGGCTATGTGCATTTTGGTTGTTGCCAAGTTTTAGATTTGTAGTATGTCAGGGTTGTAAGCAGGGTGAGGCAAGAAAACCCAACACTAAAGATACCCAAATGGATCTTATAGATGAAACCAGTGTGGATAGGCAGACCAAAATGATTAGAAAATTACTAAACTAAATGGGGATTGTACATTTACAATAATTGTTGGTCTGTCCTACAATTTGACTTATTCATCAGTGAGTTTGTGGAATTTAGACAGGCAAGGTATACACACAAGAAAGTACACAGGCCAACATCTACACAAATCCACCACTGAAGATGACAAAAAGCCGAATCACATCTGACATAATATGATGCAGATCATGGAAAAAAATCCCACAGTGAAAATTGCCCTTTAATTTCATTTCCACATTGTAACTTTATTAATTTAAATTCTAAAACTTGTTACTTTGATCAATTTATAAATGTTTGAGTGATTTTTATTTCAAATAATTGTATAAAGAAACATCGTTTGGCTTTCTGCCTGTTATTTTGATGTTTAACTATTAATTTTTGTTTAAAATAAAATAATAACTGTACAATTGATAGTAGAATAATAATTTTTAATAGATTGTTTTTGTTTTAAGAGGATTGAAAAGGCAGATCAGCTTTTCCCACTTTACGTTATGGATGCGCTTTACAATTACCCTGGCTTTCCAGGTTTATTTATAAGTGGAATTTTTAGTGCCGGTTTAAGGTAAAATCATAATTATAAAACCCATTAGCAAATGCTATTAATTTATTATTTCAGTTCTGTTTCCACTGGGATGAATTCTCTTGCTGCTATATGGTTCGCCGAATTTGAGTCTACAGCCTTTAGAAAAAACATGTCTGAAACCCAGGGGACATTATTTGTCAAATGTCTTGCTTTATTATTTGGAATTTTATCTTATTTAGTTGTATTCATGGTCCCTTACATGGGAAACCTTGTGCCTGTAAGTAGACAAATATTATTGTCATTCTCAATAATAAACTTTTTTTTTTTTTTTTCAGTTGGCTATATCTCTTTCAAGCACATTTGCTGGCACACTTCTCGGTTTATTTCTGTTGGGAGTAACCTGTAAAGCGGCAAACACTTGGGTAATTCGGTGACATTTAAAGGTTCGATTTGAATTAAATGTTTATCTTTTTTTAGGGAGCATTTACTGGTATGATGTCAAGCATTCTCTTATTGTGCTGGTTTGCTGTCGGTGCGATGGTCGCAGAAAGATCAGGAATGAAGATACATCCTCCAAAGCCACTTTCTGTAGACAACTGTAGTCTGCCGTTCAATGGCACAATGTATGCAATAACAAAGCCTTTCTTTAAAAACAGACCGTTGTACATTTATTTTTTCAGAATCACACCGAGCACTGAAGAGGCATTTATTCTGTACAGAATATCTTATACTTGGTATGGGATGATATCGATAATGATGACATTGATCGTTGGCGCTTCTGTAAGTCATGTAGAGCAATTTATCTCAAGACTAATGTGCAATAAGAGAAGATCTGATAACAACAGGAATGATATAAATGTGAACAATTTACTACTGAATGAAAAAGAACTTAAAACTATAATTTCTTCAAGCAGTAAAACACTGCAGAAAAATAATTAATTTTTTATGTATGGAAGTTGTAACTTGTTGCCAAGTATGTTTGCTAAGTTAGATTTTACGTAGTTTTTTTTATGAATGTAAAAGAAAATCAAATTTCAATGGGTTGTATTTAAAAAAAGAAAAACGAAGAGAAACTAAATGTCAAAATGTAAGTTTAAAAATATATTTAACAAAAAATACATGCCAAAGAAAAACAATGATGTACATTATGTGTATCATACTAAAATAAAATTTGATTTTATATTGTTTGCGCAAATTTGATATTTCCTTTTTTGAACTATAAATTTACAGTTAAACTTGTATTTACCTCATGTATTTAAACACGCTGATGAATGATCCTGTCCATGGAAGGGATGCGGATGATAGCAATTGCATACTCATCTCTCAAGAATTCTGTGAAATGAAGTAAAGTAAGGGTTCGTGGCTGCTCGGTGAACAGTGCACTTTCACCATGCATTCGCCTATTTATGTCAGGAAAGGGAATCCAGCAACATAAGTTTTTCACTTGATCATTTTTTTGAAAAAGATTCTTGACATAAAAATTACTTTAATGTTGTAATTAATCTATCAGGTATCTATTGTCCAAATAAATTCTTTTCAATTAGTTAATCTTTAATTAAGGTTTTGGTTGGGATAAAAAAGTCAATGGCACAACAGGATTCGAACCCACGATCTTGGGCTAAATATGCCGCTGTTCTACCACTTGAGCTATCATGACTGATCCTCTCGGACACCAACCTCCCATTGTTGTAATTAATTTCACTAATTTCATGGTCTGCTTGACCAATTAATATATTACAATTAATTGGTCAAGCGGACCACGAAATTAGTGAATTTAAAGAATTAACTGAAGTACACTTCACTAAAGCTCTCCGTGGCCATTTCATTTGTCGCCGAGAATCCAACCCGATTACACAACATTTGAAAAATGGCAAAAAGGCGGGAAAATTCAAAAGGTAGGGTTGAGATGGGAAGTTAGTGTCCGAGTGGATCAAGGTCACGATAGCTCAAGTGGTAGAGTAGCAGCGTATCTAGCCGAAGGTCGTGGGTTCGAATCCCACTCGTGCCATTGACTTTTTTATCTCAACTAAAAACCTTAATTAATTGTTGTAATTAATATAATAAGACTTCTCTGGTTGCTGTGGTGCTGAACATGTAATTTGGTTTTACCTAACATCTTTGCTCCCTGTCCTCCTCACTGAGCAAATGAGCAATCGCTTGAAGGCAGCCGTAGTGTCTACTTCATATAATCTAACATTAACAGGTTGGCAAAAGAAATATTTTAATTCTTTTTTGTATGATTATTTTGATTGAATTTTTTAAATATTTTATTTCAAAAAATTGAATTAGTTTATTTTTTAGAAAGGAATACATATATTTTTTAAATTCCAATTTTATTTTATTTGTATTATTTCCACTGCGCAGCAAGGATCTGCTGAATATTATTTTTTATTATTGTCCCATTCGACAGTGTCCGAATAAAAGATATCACATACCTTCATTACCCTAAATTATTCAAAGGATTATTACAATCAAACTGAAATGCTGTTTATTTGGTTCTTTTATAGAATCGACTGAAATAGAAAGGTGTTTTGAAAACAAAAAAAATTTGGAATGTCTGTTTTTGTTTTCTTTTCTTTTTTTAATTATTTATTTTCATTATGTCAAAAATATCAGATGGGAAACTAATGTTTCTGATGAAAAGATAGTCGACATAAAATTCTCTATTTCTGCACTGTGATTTTTTTTTTATAAGGACAACTGAAATAGAAATGCAATTTGAAATAAAACAAAATTTTAGAAATCTGTTTCTTTATTTTTTTCAAATACATTTATTTTCATTATCTCAATATCAGACTGGAAAGTAACGTTCTAGGAAAAATAATCTTGACATAAAATTCTACATTTCTGAACTGTGATTTTTTTATAGGAGCAACTGAAATAGAAATGCTTTTTGAAATAAAACAAGATTTAGAAATATCTGTTTCTTTATTTTTTTTTCATACATTTATTTTCATTATCTCAATATCAGATGGGAAACTAACATTGTAGAAAAGATAATCTTGAGATAAAATTCTATATTTCTGGCAACTTTCTTTCTGTTTAGTACTCACTATATTCTTAATGGACATCTAGATTGACCAGATATACAAAATATATTCTAACCTTTGTGAGTGGTTGGTACTATACCCTCTACTTATCACTAAGAAACTTTATTCGTCACATCAACAGTGTTCTATACAAACATTAACAATTATTAATTGATAAAAACGAATTGATTATTTTATAAGTGTTTAATAAAATGTTGAAAAACAAAATCACATGCAATTATCTAAATAGCGCTATATAATTTTTTTTGTGTTTTTAAATATTTTTGTTTTCTTTATTTATTTAAAAAAAGTAATGGTCATTTTTTTTTACAAAACTGTAACTGTGATTTTAATTAAGACAAAAGTATGCATTTGTTCAAAATTATATTTTAGAAAGCCTAAATTATCTCAAGGCACAGGTCTTATGGATAAATGATATGCCACAAGATGGACATATTATTTTGCCATCACATATGAAACACTCATTCACCTTAGTTTATACTTTATCAAAGTATCATCTGACTACAATTAGTAATAATTTATATATTTCTTTACCCATGTACTTGTTTTCTGTTTCACACTCTATTAACATTTAATACCGAGTTCATACAACTTTTGTAAAATATTTTTTTTTGTATATTAATATTTACAACAATGTCATCTTTACTATACACATCAAAAAGTACTTTTAACTTTTTAATTTGTTTTTGCTGACCTCTAGAATATAAATACTCAAACCCTGCTTTGTAAACCATTATTTTACAATTGTTGTTCGTTACACTAGACAGACACTAGGAGTGTGATTATTGTTTAAACCAGACCTCTTAAAACAGAGCACCTAGATTTCACTAATTTAGTCTCGGGACTAGATATGTTTTATATTAAATTGGAAGGAAAGAATGGCTGAAGGAGAAAATAAAATATATAATTATATTGTTAAAATGTTTAAAAAAATCTTTCGTGAGTCTTTGAAACCGTGTTTACCGCAATCTGAAAAAATAACTTTTTATCAAAACAAGTTAGGCTTACATTGTCAGAAATTTACAAATTATTTCCATTCCATCAAGCAAAATAAAACACAATATTACAAACATACAACTATTATTAAAAAGATTATTTACAATTATATTTATTTTTAATTCAAAGCAAAAGATTGTTTTTACACAAAGCAGTACCCCCTTGGAAAATAACTATTTTTTGTGCATTCCCCTTCCTGTCTTAAACAGAATTTACCCCTTCTTCCTTACTCTCTGTTTAATACTGTACAAGTGTCGATATTTTTTTTTATATTTTTTTAAAATTTATTTTTAATAGAAATGAGCTATACGAATTTGCCCCTTTTCATATTATCACACATGGGACTGTATGTACGACACCTGGCACTATGGCTTTAGCCTCTTGAATCCAGCACCGTCCTGGCCGAGTTTCAACTCTTCATAAATGGACGGAGGCACTTCTGTAGATGCGGGGACGTGAAGCTGTTCCTGTTTCCAACCTGAATGATTTGCCCCACTGCTTGTGTTCGCATCTAATGTCTAAATAAACAAATACATTTTTAAAACGTAAATTTATAAATAACCGATTTAATTTAGTGTACCTGTATGTGGTCCATATTTACTTCTCGAAGGTAACTCGGATTTTCAAAGGCAACGCCGCTCGTTGATTTGTGCCCTAATAGGCTTCTTGTTCTTATGAACCAAACGGCAACTGCAAGAACTCCTACAATGAATGCGATTATGAAGACTAGACTAAACGCCATGCCAACTTGAGAATGTTCTTCTCCTGAAACAAACAAAAACAATGATAAATTACAAATATATATATTTTAAATAATCACAATTTGAAAATTGTAAACCCTCACCCATGCTGGCTGCTGAGGTAATGTATTTTTCATCTGTACTGAAGCGCACAGTTTCTGTAAGTGTACTCGTTCCTCTTGTATTACCAGCTTTAACCATGCACTCGTATATCACTCCAGATTTGAGCGTTGTTATTTTCACACTTGTTGTTTTGCTGTCAATCTTGATTGGTGAGTTTTTGGGACCTTCCTGTCTCCAGAAAACTCTAAAAAGGTAATTTGTGTTATTTTTTTCAATCAAAATTTCCTTGTTTAAGTTGGATATTTACCTGTACATTTCTACTGTGTGTGGGTTCTTAATCGGAGGGTCCCACCTGACCCAGACTGAATGATCGTCGATTCTTTCAACCCTTACATTCTGCGGTGGTCCAGGTAGGCGATCTACAAGAAATATTGTTAGAAACAACTTCAGATAAAATTTTAGCAAAAACGCACCTCTTCCTTCTCTAAAGCATGATATAACTTTTTTCGTATGTTGCAACAAGCAAATTTTACTGTCTTGAGCGAATAGTGGCTCTCCTCTGCACCATTCAAGGCAATTTCTCTCAACACCGGACAGGGCACAACACTTACGATGGTCAGAACCATCTAAAAAAACCCATTAAATTTTTTTTAAATAAAAACAACAATTATATATTTTTTTATTACCTGATGCGCATTTCATAAATTTATCAAAATCATTGATACACTCAGGTCTATCGATTACAGCATCTATGTCAAGATAAAATGAACAGGCATCCATGCAAGTCGACGTCACATTTTGTTCGATACAACACTGTGTGATGTTTGACACAGGTGCCTGAAATTAATACAAATTAACGGAACACGTGTTCTATCAGAATTTTTATTAACTTTATCTTAGAGACATACAACATTTCGAAGCCTGACTGACACTGCTCTTGTTGCATTTCCAAAAGCGTTTTCAGCATGACAGAAATATTCACCTTCTTCGGCATCTGTTATTGATTTGATTGTTAGATGCATAATCCATTTGTCCTCATCCTATACGGACATGATACATATCATTGGTTTACGTATAAATTAAACAAAGGGAAAAGCTGAGATATACTAACATCTTTACTGCGGATTATATTAACTGCGAACTTATTGCTCTGAATGACAGGTATTCTTTGCGTAATGTCTTGCCAAAACATCATCTGCGGCTCGGGATGGGCTTCGACCAGGCATTCTAAAGTCACAGTGTCGCCGTGCGTGGCCATTGCGATTCCTGATGCTGTCAGATGAGGTTTATCTAAAATATAAAAAGAAAAATGTAATTTTACAGTGGCTTACAGTTGTAAAGAACTTACAGCTTATGACGATTCTTCTCCTCGATTCGTTTGGAGTGCCATATCCGTTGTCAGCATAGCATGAAATGTGATTCATGTCTCTTGTAACATTATAAATCACCGTTACCATGTGCCTGGTCACTTCTTGCCTTACAAGCCTTCCAGAAATATACAAAGAAATCGTAGGCATTGGTGTACCCATTGCTATGCACAAAACAGTCATGCTGCTTCCTTCGACGATCAAGTTTATAGGGTGGACTGTTGGCAGCTAAAATTAGATATAAAATATTATCATAAGCCTCAGACTTGAAAAAGTAGGAGTAGGGTGAAGAAAAGAAAATGAAATCTAGAAAAGAAAGTTGAAGTGGTCAGATAAGTACCCTGGTTTGTGAATGAAACCAGGGAGGCAAACGACTATGCCCAGTATGGTATGGTATGGTATGGTATGATGAAAAAGGATACGAGGAAGCGCAGTTTGCACTCCCCAGGCACTGCAGCCTTCTGGCTTATTGTACCTTCCTAGTTCCTTAGTTCAGTGCAATAGACTCAATCCTTCTTCTTAGAAGTATCAGGTCATTGACTGTCGCTGCTGCACCTATGATTCCCTAAGTTTTTTCCATATGTTAGGTTAAACCTTCATTGAGCTGTTCGCATTCGAAGATGATATGGGTGGTTGTTTCCACCTCCTACATAATCTGCAAATAGGATCATCGATGTATATGCCCAGGTTGTGTAGATGTTTTATCAGATGCCAGTGACCGGTTAGTAGTCCTACCACTCCTTTGAGTTTGGCCCTCTCCAATCGCAGCAATGATTTTGCCAGTCTTGTTGAGGGTTGTTTTAGCATAAGTTTACTGTGCCTAGCACCCCTAGAGTTTATCCACTTCTCCTTTTGTTTTGTTTGGATCCATTCTACGATGGAGGATTCTATTTTGTTTTTGTTATCCCAAGTATAAATTCGGGGACTATGTATGGTCTTGCAGATCCTCCTCTGGCCATACCATTAATCTCGATGTACGACGGCTAGGGGCGATAGTTTTAATGCTGTTAGCAGACTACAGAACTACTACAAAAAACGATTGTCAATCCATCTCCCCTGACTCTGAGTACCAGTGAAGAGTCTAGTATGGTATGGTAAAAAAGGATACTAGGAAGTGGGATTTGTGCTCCCCAGGCACTGCAGCCTTCTGGCTTATTGTACCTTCCTAGTTCCTTAGTTCAGTACAATAGACTCAATCCTTCTCCTTAGAAGTATCAGGTCATTGACTCTCACTGCTTCGACTATGCCCAGTACTTAGTAGGCAGACTGTATCGCGTTTTACACAAATGATCTGTGATATACCTGTGAGGTCCCAGTCCCTAATGAAATAAGTTATTTGATCAAGTAATTAATTAGGGAAATAAATAGGTTTAACGTAATTTGGAAATAAATATATTTTCTTGACTCGTTTACAAATTCTATCAAAAGAGAAAGATAATGGAAGTGTGAGACAAAGGCTGGACGAACTCTACCCAAAGAAGTTAGTTACCTCTTTGTGGCTTGGTGTGTATTTCGGACAAAACACAGTATCAACTGATGAGGCCGAACCACAATGTTGTGAACTGTGCCCACTGATGATGTAGAAGTGAACTGAGTGCGCAAGTATTCAGGGATGTTATATTTCAAGGGATGTTAAAACTAAATTTGAAATGGAGTTAGTGCTCAACGAGAACAAGTGTTAAAATAGGTAATTATTCAAGATCTTTCAACATTACACAAGGAAAAACAACAAACAATAGTACAGTAAGGAAGGACATAACTTTTGGCAAGAATGACCCACAGCACTCAAATAATTGCCCAAGTATAATAGCAAAATAGAGAAAAATAGACTTGTCTTCTGATGTCATGTAATTGCCATGAGAGATAATCTGATAATAAAAAGATAATTTTGCACCAAAAATTCTTATAGAATCATGAAAAGGGATAATGATATTATTAAGGATGTTATTAGTAAGATTTGAATATTCCACTTGGTTCCTGAAAGCAATTACATCCTGCAATTTTTTAACGATGATGAGCATTATTGGATGTTTACAATTCTATTATTAATTGTACCAATAAAAGTCAGCAACTCAGCAGATTTTAACTGTACAGAAAACTGAAAATTATCTGCGTTAAAATGATATTTGGAGCAGGAGAGAAAGGGGAGGATATATCATTTATGTAAAAGGAAAATAACAATGGTCTAATGATTGAACTTTGAGTAACACCACTGAGCAAAGGTCTAGAGGTAGAATTATCAGTATTGATAAATACATATGGGAGTGGAGAGACAGATGCAGAGTCGAAAAGTGCTGAACTAGATGAAAGTCTTCAAACGTCATTCCACCATGTTCCCACAACTTACATCCAGTCAGCACAGAAGAAAAGTGGGTGGAAATATGGGTCACATCCATTAATGGATCCCATATCCATATCCACCATCCCTAACCATCCCTATCCGTCAGGACCTTTACCTTACAGTGATGAGCGCTGTGCCAACGCCTAAACCGTTATGGCCACCGACGCCCCTAAAACAAGGCTTACTTGAACTGATTTAATTTAATTGCTAATGCATGCTGATGTCCGATGAATGTCCCCAAACCTGACTGGACTGTTCAAATCTGTGACCTTCTAAGGGACATAGTCATGAAGCGAAAACGTTGGCCACCAAAATTGGAGTTCTTGAAATTCATAAAGAAGATTGACTTTGATAAAGAATGATGTTGTTTTGTGCATGGTTGAAAATGTTATTTCTTATTGATTTATAAACTGTTGTTTGTTGCTGGTTGAATTATTTATAAGCACATTACCTCAACAAATGCTGGATATGCTGGATCAGTCCAGGCAATTAATGTCTCAGATGGCAAACTCTGTCCTTTTTTGGAAATAGCCGTTACGTAAATGATGTACTGAGTGTTAGGGCTGAGACGCTGTAGTGTGTGTGAAGTTACTGACGTTTCAGCAGCGTTGAACGAAGAGTCCGCACTCGTCTTGTAGAATATCCTTCAAAATTTTCATTTATTATTTGTTTTAACGAAACGTTATTGTACGTCTTACCTGTATGACAGTTTCTCCGATGGATTGCTGAATTCTGGCGGCTGCCATGTAATTGTAACGTATTGAGCACTGTGACCGGACACAGCGAGAGAATGAGGCGGAGACGTAATGGCAGCAATGGTCTTGTCACCGATATCTTTATAAATCAATGAGTTTTAATTATAATTGTTAAACTATAATAAATTATCAACGTACTTGTTTTTGTTATGTTGATGAGCAAAATGGATGATGGGAGTGAAGTTCCGTGTTGATTCCTTGCCACTACAAATATATTGTAAAGCTCACCTTTCTCAAGATCAGTCAGAGTGTTGCTTGTTGTAGTGACCATCTTTTGCTAAAATATTTATATTGAATGTTAATAAAGGTTTTAACAATGTGATTATATTATGCAGTAGATGTTATTTTCATATTTGTTAAAATTTACAGCTTGGAAAAGCAAAGAGGGCATGCATTAATGTTTGTTAGTTTGCAAAAATAAACCAATTATAGCTGAGTGAGATATGTAGATTAATTTTGATTAAAATTGTCAAGTTTAAATCGAGGTGATTTATGCAAAATGAATGACAAGTTAAAAAAAATTAAAAAGGAAATTTAGGTAAAGATTAATTGGAACTTTTGGTTGTAAATCACAGCCTACTCTAGTTCTAAGCGAGCCATTCATTATTTGAAGATGTCATTCCTGATAAAAGCTATTGGTTTCAAGTTATCTTTTACTCTTGGATGAACACCCTCTTCCCTTCCACCATGAATGAGTACAAGATAACTGAAAGAAATTACATTATCGAGTTTCAGTACTGTTTCATGCATTGAAGTCTTGTCCACTTTTTTGTAGTTGATCACATATCCTGTCGCATTTGCTCCCTTAGACGGTGGCTCCCATGTTAATGTGACAGACGAGTCGGTGACTTCGACAGCATGTAGTTCTGATACGGGCCCAGGCAGTATTCCAGTGCCTGGAATTTTGATTTTGTCAGTTTCAAGCGTACACTGGCAATGAATTACTTACCTTCTTCAAAGCATTGCACAATGTTTCCAATGAAGGGCATGCATGTTGAAGACGTGCTGATGAGAGTTCTTGTGACGACGCCGGAACATAGGGGCAGGCATGAAGACTGTACGCCTCTCCTCGCGCAGCAAGGGCTGTGGTTACGACCGCCAGCACCACATCTGATAAGTTTAGAGAATTCGGGCCCGCATACCCCAGCGAGCGCCTTGATCTGGGACATGCTCGCATCATAGCTGCAAAGTGGCATGCAAGGGGAGCTAAGGCCTGCTGAGGCGCAGCAAGCTGTGACATTATACTCATCTTCATCGGGCTCCAATTTTGCTTCAAATATCTACAAAAGTTTTAAGTTTTAATGAATAATCCACAATATATAATCAAAATGATTATACCTTGCTTTGGGTACTGAATATAACTCTTTGGGAAGTTTCACTTTCTCCGTGCACATTAAGGGCTGTCACATAAATTTCATAATGTGTGTCACTGTTAAGACCTTCAAGAATCCATGGTGGCTTAACCTTAAAAATTAAGTATGATTAATATAGTATAGGGTTAATATCTATCAATTTTAATTAATAGTCAGAAAACGACCAAATAAATTTATTTTAAAAATATTCAATTTGTAATGTCCATTTTTTTCTATAATTGTTAAAGGGTCATTGTACAAAAGTGAGATTTCTTCATAATCTGGTGGGGTGTTTCTGGTAGAACTTGCTCAATGGATTTAAGGGGTGAATTACCCTAGTGTAGAAACTTATGCGGTCATGGGTGATTATTTTATACCAAAGCAATTTTGCTTATTTAAATTTTCTTCTTAGTACCCTTTGAGCACATATTAAACAATTTAGCTGATGCTATTAAGTATTTCCTGTTAGATGGGAAGCGGGCTTTTTCTTCTTTCTTACTTTTTTATGATGGCGATTTTGCAGAGACCGCTCACCTAAAATCTAGAATTGGTAAATGTTGAGAATGGTTCAGTTGTAATTTTGGCCTGAACACCAAGCAATCAAAGAACGAGTTTCTGTTTTTGTTCTGGCTCGTGTTGGTGCATGCATCTCCCTTTTATAGGTGTCTTGGTGGTGCATCTGACTCTCTCACTCACACTCTTGTCATTGTCTTTAATACTTTCTCTCTTTTCTGAATTTTTCTTTTTTTCTGTTTCTATTTGTCATGTCTCTTTTACTACCTTACTCTCACGACATTTTTCTCTCTGTTTCATTCTCTCACTCACTCGTTAATTAATTCTCTCTCACTTTCTTTCTGTATTTTCTCTTTTTTGCCTCTATTTGTCATTCTCTCTTTTACCCACTGTCTACCTGATTCTCTTTGACACGCTTTTTCTCTCTTTTTCATTCTGTCACCCACTCACTTACTCTCTCTCTCTCTCTCTCTCTCTCTCTCTCACTCTCACTCTCACTACCTCCTGTTATCCTTCTCTCTTTTTTTCCTCTTTCTATCTTTCTCTGTTTCTCATTCTCTATTTGTCTGTCAGTGCTCACTGTTTAACTCACTGATTGTTTTACTCACTCCTTCTTTCTTCCGATTTAACTACAATAATTATCGATTAACGGTCACTAATCACCACACAATATTTTTTAAGTTTTCTCCGTTTTCTCGTGGATTGGAAAAAATATGGGAGTGTGCTGTGCTCGATTGGTTTGGCTCTCTACGAAAGAAGAGAAAATCACTAAGCACGATATAACTTCTTTATAGCACGGCGCTTAAATAGATTAAAACCTACACGACCGCTCGGTCGTGTAGGTTTAACATAGCGAAGTGCCGAATTTGCGATCACGCCTCCGACATTTCTTCTCTCTCTCTCTCACTCTCTCTCTCCCTCTACCTCTATCTCCCACACCTCCCACACACACACTCCCTCTCTCTGATTCTCGCTTCCTACCTTTCTACCTTTCCTGCCCTGCCTTTCTCTTACTCGCATTCATTCTATCAATCTTTAGGTTGGTGTTTCTTACTTCACTCTCTTTGCCAGTGTACATGTTGTACATATTTGTCATTCTCTCACTCACCCTCTTTTTCTCTTTCCCTCCCTCTTTTATTCCGTTTCTCCCTTTCGCTCTCTTTTTTCGTCTTTCTATCTTTCTTTGTCTCTCATTCTCTATTTGTCTGTCAGTGCTCACTTCTGTTTTACTCCCTCCTTCTTTCTCCATATTTAACTATCTCCCATCTACATTGTGCTTTCTCTTCACTCTTTTCCTGTTTCACTATGTTTTTGTCTCTCTTGGTCATTAACTTTCATACACACTGTCTATCACACCCACTCACTCTCTCTTCGTTCTGTATGTTTCTCTTTTTTCTGTCTCTATTTGTCATTGTCTCTTATACACACCGCCTACCTTACGTTATCACTTTATCTTTCTCTTTCTGTCATTCATTAATTCTCTCTCTCTCTGTCTTTCTCTCGCTCTCTTTCTCTGTTTTTTCTCTCTCTCTTTCTCTCTGTCTTTCTCTGTTTCTCTTTGTTTCTCCCTCTCTCTGCGTCTTTCTCCCTCTCTCTCTCTTTCTTTCTCTCTCTCTTTTTTCTGTTTCTCTTGGTCATTGTTTTTCATATTGTTTCTTCACTCTCTTGTCTGTCTCTCTCATTCCGTCTACCTTTATTTTAAATGTCTCTTTCTCTGTGTGACTATCTCTCTTGCTTAATAACTGTCTACCTGATCCTACCAAACAATGTTTCCGCTCGTCCTGAAAGTGGTTATGAGATATTTTAAAATACAATAACCAATTTCCTTTGAACTGAGTTTAGAATTATTTTGATTACAAAAAAAATAAAAAATAATAAAAAACAAATGTTGGCGGTGTTGGCTGCATATTGTGTGTTGCTAGGTTTTGTGATGAATATAGGCGTTCATAATATACAGCTGCGTAAGTCACCGTTGGCCTAACAAGGACTTGCTGAAGGTCCATGTAAATCGTGATTACACTGTCATTTTCGACATAATTGGCAAGAGACCCAACATTCCTGCTCGGACTTTGACTGCTCTTGATCATCAGATTTCGTTGTATAAGAGATCCTCTTGCACGTGCCACTTCGCGGGTTACTAAATCTGACAATGATAATTATGTATTAAATTCAGATATGAAAATTTTTCGGGAAAATTGAGCAACTAACTCCCATTTCCAGAAACTTTTTTGATGCATTTCTTGTACGGAAAGATTACCGAAACATTATGTGGACGGGTTTTTCAGTATCATTGGATTTTCCTCTTAGCGAATTATTTAATACGATTAATAAATTCGTTTAAATCCAATTTTAACAATCGTTTAGCCGTAATTGACGGCAATATTCTCCATAAAAATTAACAAGACCGGAATAATTGTTAAACGACAAAACTGATGGTTAACTCTTGCCAGAGAAAAGGTCCAAAAGTCGTGATCTTTACTATTTCCGGAGATATAATTGGTAGTCAAAAGGGGCAATTTTTCCCACGATTAAGCCCGAATAAAGAAGATATAAAGAGGCCGACTTTTATAAGGGCATGAAAAGCGAATGGTACAACCCTCCTTACGCCTTTTACTCCCCAGCCCCGATATGGCCCTGATATGTTTACATTCGACCGCGCTAACGCAAAACTGAGGAATGAATAATAGAAAAAATCGAACTCAAATAACTCAAATTTATCACGCCTTGTATACACTAAACGGGCTGTCCTGTTTAGGTGGCCCGGCTAAATTTCTCAAAATTTAAAAAATAATACGACTACAAAAAAAGTCTCTTTTAATCCATTACAGTTCGTGGTCCGATTGACCAATTAACATTTTTCAATTAATTAATATTTATTGGTTGAGATAAAAAAGTCAGCGTCACGAGCGGGTTCGAACCCACGACCTTCGGCTAAATAGGCCGTTACTCTACCACTTGAGCTATTGTGACCTCGATCGGATTTATCTCAACTAATACTTTTCATAAATATTAATTAATTGAAAAATGTTAATTGGTCAACCGGACCACGCGTTATTAATGAATTTAATAACTGAAGTATATCTTCACGAAAACTCTCCTTGGCCATTTCATTTGTCGCCGAGAATCAAATAGATTACACGACATTTGAAAAATGGCAAAAAGGAGGGAAAATTCAAAAGGTGGGGTTGAGATGAGAAGTTAGTGCCCGAGTGGATCGAAGTGACGATAGCTCAAGTGGTAGAGCAGCGGCGTATCTAGCCTAAGGTCGTGGGTTCGAATCGCGTTCGTGACGCTGACTTTTTATCTCAAGCAATATCTTTCATAAATATTAATTAATTGAAAAAAGTCTTGTTTAATATTTTTAGCCTGTTTCAAATTTTCACCTTTGTAGAAAAATTATACAGGGTACATCAGGCTAAGTTCATCTTCAAAATTACAAATACTCCTCTATACATCCTGACATATTATTTTAAAGGATTTTTTTGCGATGAAAAGAATGGTCCAATCAGATTTTAAATTGGTTAAAAAATGACAAAGTTTTGGCAAAGAATTTGGAAAAAAATAGTCATTTGGTTTGCTATTTATTAATCACATTTCATGTTCAAACTGCCTGCCTTGCGTAAAGATGCAGTCTTTTTGTTAGAGCAGCGTATCTAGCCGAAGATCGTGGGTTCGAATCCCGCTCGTGACGCTGACTTTTTTGATCTCAACCAATACCTTTCATAAATATTAATTCACCACTCTTCACCGGTGCTCAGAGCGACAGAATCAGAGGAGATGGATTGACAAGCATTTTCTATCCTTTGCAGAAGTTCTTCAACTGAGGTTAATAGGTTTTGATTGGCGTAGGCACTGTTTTGTTAAATGCCGAGGAGGCCAAAAGATCTGGCCATGAGGTCCTATCCACCTATTCCGAAAGTGACGATTCAAATAACCTCTCTCCTGGAAAGAATTGTGCGCGGGTCATCCATCAAGCTGGAGAATCATTCTTTGTGTGTCTTCAGCGTAAAATATCCTTTAAAATGATGTGTCAGGATATAGAGGGTTGTATTTGAAATTTTGAAGTTGAAATGATCTTGAGGTACCCTGTATAATTTTTCTCAAAATAAAGGTAAAAATTTGAAACTATACTAAACATTTTTTTTCTTTAAACGAGGGTTCGCAACAGCAGAAGTTATATCAACCCTCGGGGTGCCGGTGTTTTTGAAAAAAAGCCCATTTGTAAGTATGCCGGGTTTGAATTCAGGGCCACTGCATTCGAACCCGGGACCTGTACTTTACAGTAATGAGCGCCATGTCAACGCCTAAACCGTTACGGCGACCGACGCCCCACTAAACAATATTAAAGTCGTATTTTTTGTATTTTTGATAGCGTCATTGATTCAAGAGAAATCCAGCCGAGCAATCTAAAAAGGATACTTTGCTTAAAAAGTAGGTATAGTGGTCTTATTATTAAAATCGTTTAAATTGATGAAATATTTGTAAATGTCAAAGCGTTCAATGTACATCACTTGGAATAAACCGATTGAAATTTAGTTGCAAGGATTTGTTTAAATATTACACTAATCCCACAAAACGAGGATTGTGATAGGTCTAACATATTTTTTATAAAGAAACAATATGTAATATGTATGGACAAGTGTGAAAAATTTTGAAAAATAATGATATGTTAATTACTTGAAAAATTACATTATAGTGACAATAACTGGAGACTTTGCCGTACATCATGTATGATTTATCTATCAATGTAATCCTTACCGAGCCTATCGTCATGACCTGTGAGCCAGCCTCCGAATTCAAAACTCTGTAGTACAGATTATAATGTATGACCGTATCGGCCAGGAAGGTCGGCGGTTCCCAGTTGACTATGGCGAAGTCGACTTCGATGTTTGTCACCCGGACCCGGGACGGCGGACCAGGTATGACTCCGTAACCCTGTAAGAGGCAGTCGCGGTAGGTCGGAATGTACTTGATGCATCTGTGGAAACAAATAGAAATAAAAAAGTGGATTAGTGTTTAAAAAGGTGAATTTTACGATAAAACTGCAGTCATACAAATCAGCAAAGATCATAAATGTTACAGTGAGTAGAATAGTCTGCAATATGGCCGCCTAGCTCTTTCTCTATCAGTGTTTTGTCAAATTTTAACTCTCTCTCTCATTTTCTCTCTCTCTCTCTCTCTCTACGACAATAAATAAAACATTCATTCTCTCTTGTCGCTATCTCTCATGCGCCATTGACCCATTCGGTCAAGTCGTTTGGTTTTGGTTAGGTTAGGAATGGCTAGGTGAGATGGAATTATGCTACGGAAAGACGAGGGTTTTTTTTTTTCAATGGGTACCAGGAACTGGAGGAGTTGCCCCTGAGCACTGCAACTGTACAGCTTATTGAACTTTATCCCTGGCTCCATTTTTTGGGGGCTCGCAACACAAGTGTGAATTTGAGCCCCCGGTATGCCGGTGTTCTTCCATCGAAGAAAACTCATTTTTGAAGGGGGTTGGGACCAAATTCAGGGTCGCTGAGATCTGATCCCGCTCCTTCCATTGATGAGTGCCGTGTCAATTTCTTTCAATTGCGGCCACCGGTCCCCTTAGGCGTCAGAAAAAGTCCAGAGGGACGGTGGGGATCGACCCCACGAACGCGGGATCTACTAGCCGAGAGTGCCTTAACCTTAACCACTCGGCTACCGCGGCCCCCGGGGTAAGGGTTAGGGAAGGGTTAGGTTAGATTAAGTGAAATATAGTTAGGGTTAGGGTTGTATTACGATTTTTCTGTCTTTCTGTATATTTCTTTTTCTCTCTTTTCTCTCTCTCTCTCTCTCTCTCTCTCTCTCTCTCTCTCTCTCTCTCTCTCTCTCTCTCTCTCTCTCCCATTTTTTTAAACAACCAAATAATATTTCATTATATGAAATTTTGTTGTTGGTGATAATTTTGGTAGGAATTTTCTTGTTGGTTTGGACTGCCAGATGCGTTTCGGCTGTTTGCCATATTCAGTGCTAAATTTATAGTTTGTCATCTAAGACCCAACACTAAAAATGGCGAAATGTCAAAACGCGTCTGATTAATTTTACATTAAATATTGAAGCTAGATGAAAAAAGAAATTCTAAGGTGTAAGGAATGCAGGACTTACTTGAAGTAAATGAAGTTTAACTGGGACACATTTCCAGAACACAGGTGTTGGCAGACGTCCGGAAGTCCCCGCGCTTTACAGCATGGAGTATGGTCGACCCCGTTGGCCAAGCATCGGAAAGTCGTGTTGGCCCAGGGGGCGCAGATCATCAAGTCCGAAGTCTGCAAGTTGACGATCTCGTTCACGTCGCACACTTTTGGCAAACATCTGGAACGACTTGACAGTTAATAAATCCGAACGGTTGATTGGTTTAATTGTTAACCCTTACTTGTCGATGTCCATTCCGTTGTCCATACAGCATTTCTTGACGTCGGGCAGCTTGGGGAAGGCGACCGGCTTATCGTCTTTCATACGTCCAGGGGTCATCGTCAGCGAACGTACCGGGTTCGACGGAAGGCTCGTACCGTATTTGCTCTTCGCGATCAGAGACACTTCGTACATTGTGAACGGGACCAGTTCCTTAATTACCACGTAATTCGTCAAGTTGTCAGTAACCTGGAAATTGATTTATCTTGTGAAAACTCGTTTTTCGATTAATTGTCCCGGCAGGTAGTGGGATTATTCAGAACGATTCCGCGGGAGCTTGAAGATGGGCCGAACTTCGCCGAGTGCAAAATAATCTGCATAATAGAATTTTCCCTCTCGGGAGTTTCTCCAGTTCTAATCGCCTCCTTATCCATTACAAGTCTTGGCAATAGTTGGAAATGAGAATAGGTTGGGTTTATCTATTTTAACAGTTCAACAAAAATACTATTGAAATTGCCAGAACTTCTTAGAAAAGTTACTGATTCTACTATTGCATTATTATTACGCTATTTCAGCCTAAACTAATTCAGATTGTTTAATATGGCCCTGAAAAGCGCAAATTGTATTATGCAGATTATTTATACCGACTTTGTGTCGGATCGTTTCCATTTGAAATGAATAAATTAACTAAAATATCATCCAGAATCTCCGCAGATTGTCAAAGTTTCCTAAAATTTCCTAATACTATAACGAAATAATATGTTAATTATATTCAGTTCCGATCTAGAGTTAGGCCCTTAAAAAGCATTAGCATGTAAAACGACACATCCAAAATAATCGGCGAATGCATAGCAAACCTCAAAAACCTGCAAAACCATAACGCCCAGAACGTCTAATTAGAATAAGATCAATATTCCTCCATCTCCGAACGAGTCTACAAGAAACAAAAGAAGATAATGACTTCCATTGGTGCCAGAAATAGTAAACCCTTAATTAAAGAATACTAAATAAAACTGGCAAACACATTGGTCAGCGGCATCTGAGAAAACACATATACAAAATGGGTAAATTCAAAGTTGACTCAAGTTTGTGGTTTTGCAGTTAGGAGACAACACTGAACGTTGACAATGACCAAATAGTTCTAAAAAGAAGGATCAATTCAATCGAATTGAACGAAAGAACTAGAAAATATCAATAATTTAAAATGCCGTAGTGCTTGAGCAATATCAAACCGCTTCCTTTGTACCTTTTCATTACCATTTTCATCAACATGCAGGGCTAAAAGTAAAATATTGATTTCAATTAATTAAGGTTTTGGTTGAGATAAAAATGTCACTGTCACAAGCGGGATTCGAACCCACGACCTAAGGCTAAATACGCCGCTGCTCTACCACTCGATGGTGACTTCGATCCAATCGGATACTAACTTCCCATCTCAACCTTTTGAATTTTCCCTCCTTTTTGACATTTTTGTCTCAACCAAAACCTTAATTAATTGAAAAGAATTTATTTGGTCAAGCAGACCTTGAAAGCTAATAAAATGTAAAATATTTATTTAGACATCGTGAGATGCCGTCTGTTGTGATGTAGGTTTCAGAAAAACATTTTCTTTATCGTGCCAACGTTTCGATCTTTATTGAGATCATCTTCAGGGCTTGGGATTTACAAACATTGTTTACACTTAACAAATACATTTAGGATGTGGAAAAGTGAATTTATACAATGCAAAATATATTTTTTATATTCAATGTTTGTAAATCCCTGGCCCTGAAGATGATCTCAATAAAGATCGAAACGTTGGCATGATAAAGAAAATGTTTTTCTGAAACCTACATCACACCAGATCGCATCTCACGATTCCTGAATAATTATCGATTAACGGTCACTAATCACTACACATTTCTACACGAGAAGAACGAAGAACATAGGATTCTATGAAAAAATTTCAACTACATATGGACACTCAGCTAAAAGTACTCTAAGGACATCGCCAACAATGAGAAGAAACTCGCATCGGCTATCAACCAGAGAACTTTTTTGCTGAAATGCAGACAACACAAGGCCCTGAAGATGATCTCAATAAAGCTCGAAACGTTGGCACGATAAAGAAAATATTTTTCTGAAACCTACATCACACCAGACCGCATCTCATGATTTCTAAATAAATATCGATTAACGGTCACTAATCACCACACACAAAATGTAAAATATTAAACTCAAACCAAAATAATTTTGAGATTTGTTTTTTATTTGTTACCATGCATTATAATGCATTTTGATTTTTTTTTTAACTTCAGGACTTCTAGGAGCTAGAATCATTATAATCCCTCTTGCATAAAGCAATTCCCTTATTTCAACAAGTATTTAAAATTTTTAAAAAAATTAACTTTCTTTACACAGGATTTTCAGTATTTCAAGCAAACTTTTTTTTATAGTCAAGGTATTACTTGTTATATTTTCTCAAAGTTTGTTCCTTCAAGTTATAACAATTTAAACGTACTTAACAATTAATTTATTCTTTTAAGCCCAAACCTGAAATTAAGGTAAAGTTTGCCCTCAACTTTTAAGAAATGGTACATGATTTTTTGAGCAAATAGTCAAAAATTTGATTTAGATCTAATCCAAATGTAAATTTTTAAATAAATGTGATATTATTGTATGATATCAAGATTGAATAAACATGAAGTAATTTTACAATTTTTTATCTGCTAAATCTGCCAAAGCATTCAAGGAAGATAGTTCAAAGACTTTCTAAATTTATTTTAGATTTTGTGAGATTTTGTTCGTTCGAATACGTATATTATTACGTAATATTATTTCATTAAATCCCATGCTCCCTTCAAATCATTATTTTTTTCCAATTAGCATAAAAGAGTTTATTAGATAGCGAACCTGTAATCCGGTTAACAGATGATACGTCTTGTAGGTGACGAGTAAGCAATTTGTCCGAAAATAAACCGTAGTGGCACAAAAACCTCTCGAAACAAATAAAAAGCATAAATCTAACTTTAAAAGAGTTTACTAAATAGCACACTTATTTGAACTTTCATATATTTTTTGTCGATAAATTGTAGTTTTTTTTGTATTTGATGAATTCTACTTTCCTCTTTTTTCAATCTTATACATTTATACCGTCGTACCTTTTACTTCTTGCTGTCACACATTCTTTCAGGAGAAAACGTGCAAGCTTGTTTATCTTCGAATGCCGTCTGAACGGGGAAATTGAAAAAAAAAGCAAAAAAAAAAAAAACAGAAGGGCGAGCGAGACTTTTAGCATGCATAAGATAAAAGTGTCAATTGTTATTTTCGCTGAGTTGGCTTTACGATATGAAAGGTGATATTTTTCTCTGTACACCAATATTGTTTTATATAGTATTTTCGTGGTTTTAGAATGACAATGTCGAATTTCTCTTTTATGGCTTATGCTGCTTGTCATGGCAGCATTGATATTTTTCTGTTAACAATTATGTCAATAAATTTATTAATTTTTAAACATATTTCCACTGTAGTTTCTAGAAAACCCGTTTATACATTTTAAACTTAAATAATTTTATTTGTGTAGAATTTATTAGGGATTTATTACCACTATTTAGTTTGATCGATAAGGTTTCGTGGCCCGAATGACCAAATAAATTCTTCTGGATTAATTAATCTTTAAGTAAGGTATTGGTTGAGATAAAAAAGTCAGTGTTCTGAGCGGGAACACGAAACCTAGTCGATTTAATAAGCGAAATGAAGTATACTTCATTAAAGCTCTACGTGGCAATTTCATTTATCGCCGAGAATCGAACAGATTACACGACATTTGAAAAATGGCTAAAAGAGGGAAAATTCAAGAAAAGGTGGGGTTGAGTTGAGAAGTTAGTGTCCGAGTGGATCGAAGTCACGATAGCTCAAGTGGTAGAGTAGCGGCGTACCCCGAAGGACGTGGGTTCGAATCCCGCTCATCACACTGACTTTTTTTATCTCAACTAAAAACCTTAATTAATTGAAATATATTAATTGGCCAATCGGACCACGAAAACTAGTGAATCTATAAAAAATGTTTTCGCAAAACAATCAGATTGAACGAAACGACATATTGTGAAAAGAAGAACTAAAAAAGTTTCAAATAAGGAAAAAATTCATTTCGTTAAACTATTACCATCAAGAAAACTCAAGTAACTTTTGTCGCTTATCAAAAATAACTTACAATACTTTCTCTACAGTCTATTCCTCCTGGCACTCGTAGCACTAGCTTTTTTCATTTCGACAAAAAACCTTACATAAAAAAGATTAATTAATTGAAAGAAGTAATTTGGTCAATAGACCACTGGCCACTTCATATGTCGCCTAGGATCGAATCCTGATGAGAGGGAAAATTCGAAAGGTTGTAGGACGAAATGGGCTGGTTTCCCAGTGGATCGAAGTCACGATAGCTGAAGTGATTAGATCAACGGCGTATTGAGCCGAAGGCCGTGGGTTCGAATCCCTCTCGTGACACTGACTTTTTTATCTCAACCAATACCTTACTTAATGATTAATTAATTGAAAGTTATTTAGTTTATTTATTATTCATGTAAAATAATATTTGCCACAAGGGCTTAACACCAAAGTACTCAATTTTTTGATGGTGCCCATTCTGATTTTATTCCATAATAAGATGATGCTCCAAATAATCTTTTCCACAATAGGTTAGATGGTTGATAGGTTTCCTACTGAGGAAAAGATATTTCCAACTCATCATCGAACTACCCGTCGTGTATTGCGGTTAAAGGGTCAAAACCATTTTCCAACTTTTTCAAATTTATCTCATATCGATTTTCAACGGTTATGTCGAGAATCGAACCCAGAACTGCTACCATGTCAACTACGAGATGGACGTAATTCCTTTAGGGAATTCAATTTGATTCAAGAAATCCTCTTATGTGTGTAATTTAAAAAAAAAATATGATTTTCGTTTTTTAGTTTCACTATGTAGTGATATAGTGTGCTTTTTTACGAACATTAAAATATTCAAAATAGGAAATTTATCGAAATAAATCCGCAACAATTTTTTTAATACAACTAATGTTAAAACCAGTTTATAAACTCGGGGTTATATGCATTTTGGAAATAAATTAATCTGTTACATTAATCTTACCTTTAACTCACTTCAAAACTAATTTAAGCAGTTAATTTTTCCTATTACCAATTAGACTTAGTGAAAACGAAAAAACAAAAATCAAAAGATTGAAAAAGGAAGTATTTACAAGTTGGTCAAACAGGCT